CTCTGGGGGCATAGTGCCTAAGGCATGTGACTGCTAACCAGAAGACTGGAGGTTCAAACGCAGCAGCCACTCCTCGGAAGGAAGACTGGGCAATCTACTTTCCTATTGATACCGCCTTGGAAACCCAAGGAGGGGTTGCTAAGAGTCTGATCCAACCCGAAGGCAGTGAGTTTGGTTTGGTTTTGGAAACTTTGTAGCATTGGGCAAGTTACTCCTCTTACACTCACTTTTCTTAGCTGTAAAATGGGGCTGATTGGAGATGTGAAGATAATGCCTGCATGGCATTTGAAACGTTTGGCACGGCCAGCACTCAATACTAATGTCAGCTCTTACTGGTATTTATCACAAGTATTCCAGAAAGCCAAATCCAACCCCATCCTAGAGCTGATTCTGACTCCCCCCAACAATGTTCTACTGCTATTCATAAGGCTTTCAGCAGCCACTTTTCTCAGAAGTAGGCCATGATGTTCTCACAACGTTGCTTGCTGAAAGAAAGAGGACTTGAAAACCTTACTGATGAAAGACTACAGCCTTCAATATGGACTATACCTCATCATAAAGATATCAAAAACTTCACAACTGGACCAATAAACAACATCATGATAAACAGAGAAAAGATTGAAGCTGTCAAGGATTTCATTTTACTTGGATCCACACTCAATGCCCTTGGAAGCTGCATCAAGCAAACAACGTTTTGCATTGTGCAAGTCTGCTGCAAAAGACCTCTTTTCAGTGTTAAAAAGCAAAGGTCACTTTGAAGACAAAGGTGAGCCTGCTCCAAGCCACGTATTTTCAATTGCCTCCTAATGCATGCAAAAGCTGGACAATGAAGGAAGGGCAAAGAATTAATGCTTTGAATTATGGTGTTGGTGAAGAATATTGAATATACCATGGATAGCCTGAATGAAGAAAATGTTGGCCAGAATACATCTTAGAGCGGGAATGGCGAGACTTCTCCTCTCACACTTTGCCCACATTGTCAGGAGAGGCCAGAGAAGGCTATCATGCTTGGTAAAGTAGATGTTTGGTCAACGAAAAAGAAGAAGACCTTCAACGAGACGAATTCACACAGTAGGTTCAACAATGGCCTCAAACATGGCAACGATCGACAACGTTGCAAAGGACCTAGGAGTGTTTCCTTCTGTCGTTTACAAGGTCACTATGAGTCAGAACCGATTGGAGGACACCTAACAACAACAGCAACAACAGAAGCCCAGGGCTGGGCCACTGCCTCACCCAAGCTGGCTGGTCAGGCTCGGGGTCCAGCCAGTCCCGCTCCTTGCTATCCAATCCAACCACTTGACTGTCTGTGCAGGACCCGCCCCTCACTTCGCTCGCCGCTTGCTATTGGTCGACACACTGAAGCACTTCCATCAATCCGCTTGCAGGCCCGCAGAACGGGCAGAGCCAATGGGCGCGGGGTTACGGTCTCCTGGATACGAGTGTACACAGTGGAGGGAGGACTCGCCAGCCTGGCAGCGCCGGGCGGCGGATTAACCGTTGCAGTCTAGTTGGCTGCGAGCCGCCGGGCGGAGAGCAGCCATGGCGCAAGGCCAGGAAGTAGAGGAGGCCCAGTCCATCGCCGACAGCTCGCCCTTGTTCGTGAGGTGTGGCGTCCACGGTCCCGCGAGTGACTTCGGTGTCGCTCGGAAACTGCTCCTGACCTGTATCCTCTTGCTACCCATTTCTTCCTCTCATTCTGTAAAACTGCTCTCCCCCGGAACTTAGAGCTCTTTTCCGGTACCTACCAAAAGGCCTTCCCGCAGACTCCTTCCCTGAGACCTCTTCTTGCCTGTGTCCGTTATTCAATGACCCGGTTCCCACTTGTTCTTATCCTCCTCTCTCCTGCCACCTCGGCTCCTGCCTGCTAACCCAGTATCCCTCTCTGTGCACCTCCATTTCTGTCCCTTCCTTCTGCTCGGTGTTCCCTTCACTCATCCGTTTTCCCTGACTTCTTCTAAGCATCCCTCCACATCCCAGTGACGGTCTCCATTTCATCCCTGCCGCTGCCATCTTCTATAATTCCCCCAAATCTTAGGACTGCCAGTCTCTGCCCTCTAACTCCCATCTGTTAGTTTTGGATTAGTTTGTATTTAGGGGGGAACTTGAAAAGCGTCCGACGCTGCACAGATAGGTTAGTTCTTTTCTCCCACATTCTATCTCGAGTGCTGCTGCATTCGGTTCCACACAGCATCCTCTGCCGCTCCTGCTGTACTCTCCAGTACCTGGAGGTTGTTCCCCAAAACCAGTGTTCTTCGCTCGCTTTTTCCACCATCCTCAAGTATATTTTCAGTATTTAATAAAAGTAGAATCTCCCCTCTTCTCAGACTCTCTCCTTCCTTCTAGCATACAACGCACCACACATTCGTTGCTTAAAAACAGTTCCTTTTGTGTTCTGAGCACTCCTGTCTTCCATGTCGACTTCATTCTCTTTATTTTCTGCATATACATATCTTCTTATGTCTACGGCTATGCTGCACACCCTTCATCTTCAAAAGAAGCTGTTTTCCCACTCAAAACCACAAAGCATGCTGTCACACTTAAAGCTGTTTTTCCAAGTGTTTTTTGTTTTTTAATCAAAATAGGATTTTGATGTACCCTTGCTTTCTATGGGGATCAAGCCGTTTTCTCTCTGTTTTTTCATCATTTCCCCCAAGTATACATGACTCCACCCATCTTTCTGAGACTTTGTCAGGCTTGCATCACTTCAGTTCTCTGAAGAAGGCTCTTGAGGCCAAAGGAACATTAGGTTTACATTAAACTTCTAAAGTTTGTGGACTCAAAGTGACACTACAACCTGACTTATGTATTCTTTTTTATCTTAGAGACTGTTTTGGGCAGGAAGGGGGCAGAGGTGGAGTGGATGTGTTTCACAAAGTTTAATGACTTTGTGTTTGCTTTATTTAAAAAGAGAGAGAGAGAAGTACTTGAAATATATTATACTGATGGTGACATTTTTTTTTTTCCCCCAAAGATGGGTGCAAGGATTTCCTAAGCAGAATGTTCAATTTGTCAACAATGACACCATTTGCTACCCTTCTGGGAACTACATAATATTTATTAATGTCGAAACCAAGGAAAAGACAATACTCCAGTGTGTGAGTGGAATTGTGGGCATCATGGCAACCAACATTCCCTATGAAGTTGTGGCTTTCTCAGATAGGGCGCTGAAACCTGTCATCTACATATACACCTTTCCTGGATTGACCAGAAGGACCAAATTAAAAGGTATCCTGCTGGACCTTTCCTCTGTCATAACTGAAGGATTTTGTTATAAGATGTGACCAAATCTAGTTCTTATAAATAGAGGGCTATTTATTTATTTATTTATTTTGTGATTTGGGTGAAAGTTTACAGAGCAAATTTACTTTCCGTACAGCAGCTCACATGTACTTTGTCTCATGATATTGACTCCAGTTTACCACAATGCAACAGCTCCTCCCCCACTTCCTCCCCATAGTTACCTCTTCCGAGGGTTATTTATTTTTCTTAATGCGCATTTTAAAGAAGGAACCAAGATGATGATGGAGGATTTAATTAAGTGGCTGTAGCCTTGCTACTCAAAGTCTTTTCTGCTTACCAAAAAACTGACATCACCTCCTAGCTTGTGCAGAGTCTACGTCTACCCTCCTAGATGACTGAATCAGGATCTGCATTTTAACAAGATTCCTGAGGTGATTCATACACACTAAGTTGTGAGGACCCCCCCTCCCCACCCCCGGGCTAGGAGACTCTATTACAGAACTAAATTCAGTTTGATAACTTTTTTCAGAACCATGCTTTTATCCCCTTTCTGATGATTTACTGAAAATTCAGGTTAATTGATGATTGTACCATTTCTAAAGACAAATCTCTGAGCCTCAATTTCCTTATCCATGAAAACGAGTAATGGTAGTACTTAATGTTAGGACTGTAACGATAAATGAAAATACATATATATAGCACAACTGCGGGAACCTCTAACAGTTTCCTCATTTTAGCACATGGACAAGAAGCTCAGTGGAGCTTAAGGCTGGTCTCAGTTATATAGCCTTATGTTATTGTTGTTATGTGCCGTTGAGTCGGACCCGACTCATAGTGACCCCTCCTTGGGTTTCTGAGGTGGTATCACTACGGAAGTAGATTGCTCAACCTTCCTTCCGAGGAGTGGCTGGTGGGTTTGAACCACCAGTCTTCTAGTTATAAGTGCCTTAGGCACAAAGGCACCAGAGCTCCTTGTAGAGGGCAAGGAGTATTTAAATGAAATAATTTCAGAGTTCATCTGGAAATGTGTATAAATTATTGAATGGAAAACTAATTTGCTCTATAAACTTCCACCTAAACCACAGTAAATAGTTAAAAATAAAAAAGGTTATCTGGAAGAACAATTAAAAATGAAAGCAATTTGAAAAGAAATAATGGCAGGAGAGAGGGCCTTTTTAATATTATGGTGGTACAATAAGTGTGTGGTATTGGTGCCTGCATCACAAGATGAGTGGAAAAGTTGAGAAAGACTAGGAACAGAATCTAGACTATATAAAAACTATAGGGTACAGGCATATCTTGGAGATATTGCTAGTTCAATTCCAGAACGCAGCAAAAAATCAAATGTCACAGTAAAGTGAGTCACATGAATTGGTTCCCCAGTGCGTTTAAAAGTTATGTTTACACTATACTGTAGTCTATTAAGAGTGAAATTGCATTATTTATTAAAAAGTTTGAAATATTGTGAGAATTTCCAAAATGTGACAGAGAAACACGAAGTGAGCATGTGGTACTGGAAAAACGGGGCAGATAGATTTGTGTGATGCAATTCAATTTGTAAAAAACCTTCAATTTGTAAAAATTGCAGTATCTGCAAAGCACAATAAAATGAGGTATGCCGGGATGATGAAAGAAGCTCACCCACAAAAGAGCGAAGAGGGTATAGATTAATCAACAGTGGTATTCGGAAAACTGACTATTTGAACAAAAACCTCATAGATATTCATGTTACTCTGTACATTAAAACATATAGCCAAAAAACCAAACCCACTCCATTGAGTAGATTGCAACTCATAGCAATCCCATTGGGTTTCCAAGGCTGTAAATCTTTATGGAAGTAGATTGCCTCATCTTCCTCCCATGAAGTGGCTGGTGGGTACCTTCTGATTAGCAGCCAAATACCTTATGCACCACACCACCAAAGCTCCTTCATTAAAACATGTATCATGTGAAAATAAGAGTTAAATATAAACAAGAAAACCAGTCAAAAAATAGAAGAAACTAAGGAAGAATATTGAACTGATCTTAGGAGGGGACAAATTTTGCAAGCACACTAAAGAAAAAAATTAAAGGATTGATATATTTGATTATATAAAAATTTGAAACAATAAATGTAGCACGGAAAATTAAAAGGCAAATACTAAACTAGGGAAAATATTTGGAACAAATAGGATGATCAAATATTCTGGGCACTTAGGAAGCAAAAGAAGCTCTGGTGGTGCAGTGATTAAAGCATTTGGCTGCTAACCAACCAAAAGGTTGATGGTTTGAGCCCTCCAGCCACTCTGTAGAAGAAAGATGAGGCAGTTTGTTTCCTAAAGATTTGCAGCCTTGGAAACCCTATGGGGTAGTTCTACTCTGTCTTATAGGAGCACTATGAGTCAGAATCAACTAGATGGTTGTGGGGTTTTTTTGGTTTAGGAAGCAAAAAGAAAAAGATATATCTCATTGGAACCCTGGAAAGAGATTCACGCAGACAAAGTACTCTTGTTGCCAAAGATGGGAATATAAAGTGATAGTCTTTCTGTGAAGTAAAATATTTATTGTATTTGACCCAGTAAACCCACTTGTAGAACTGGAATTCAGCCCTAAGGAAATAATCAGAAATCTGGTCAAAGATTTATGTAGTTCAATGCACTGTCATTTATAATAGCAAAAGAAGGGCAACAACCAACACCTCTGTAATATGAATATGTTTAAATAAGTTAAAACAACCCCAAAACTTTACATTTTTGAGAAATTAAGAGAATAGAATGCTCAAAATAAGGTAGTAGGGTGTGACACTATGTATAATATTCAAATTCCATTTCAAAAGCTGACTTTATATAAATATTGAATCCATGATTAATATACTTATAAAAGCAAAGCTATATTTAAAAAAAAA